GCAGTTAGTTGCGTTGCCACCCATGGCGCAAACGAACCGATAGATCCCATTCATTCATCGTTCAGTTCTCAGGTCTCTCTGGAAAACAATCCGTCAAACGCACCACCTTTCCAAGAAACGGTTGGGCAAAGAAAAGGCAGAGGTATATAGCAAAAAGCACGCGCACACAAGCACAGTTTGTTCATCTGCTATTATTGTACCTTTTCTGTCTTCATAAGCTAGAGAATAAATAGCCCATGTTGACTCCCCCGTGATACGCCCCATCACGGGTTCCTTCTGTTGATCATGGCCTTTTACAAGCGTCTACGTTTTCAGTCGCACTGGGACATACGTCTCTCGTTCGTCGGCGGGTTAGCTAGCTAGCTAGCGCGGTCGGTGCAATACACGACGACACCCACACGCAATATGGTTAAGTAAAACATGATAAATAATCCATCAGACTTTGCTTCTTTTTTTCTTTTTCCTGACGACGTGCCGATCCGCGAAGCCCCCGGCCGGGCCGCACGCCGAATTCTACCGTGCACCCGACGAAGACGACGATGACGACGACGACATAATCACTAATGCTCATATCTGCCATCTATGCTATACCCTATGCGTGCTGCTCCTGCTGCTGCTGCTGCTCGTTGCCGCTGCTGTTGCCGCGACGGCGAGATACAAAACACTTATATTTTGTATGAACCAACAAAAACGCGACAGACAAACCGATCCAAGGCTATATACTGTAGCTAAATTAGAAGGCGAAGCAACATCCATCAGCCGAGGCTCTGAAAGTCAAGCGACTCCGAGCCTTGCACGTGCACGTGTATTTGATAACAGCAACAACCACCATGCCCCGGAGGGCTAGAATCAACAAGGGCAGTGGTGGCCAGAGGAGCTTCGGCTGAAGGCATCACCCCCGCACACCTCCCAACAAAAGGGCCTACAAGTGCACCATGTACTCGAGCGATTCCGCGTTTAGACAGCAGGCAACCCCGCCTAAGAACTTTAAGATGAACACGACCGCAGCAAAGGAAGTAGAGGTAGAGACCGTGGCGCCGACACGACGACAAAAACAACTTATACAAACAGGTCTCGACGACCCCCCCCCTGCCCACAGCAGCATGCTCCCCTGGGGTAATTTACTATCCATCCTTTTTTTTTACTGCTATAGTAACGAAGGATACCAACAACCCCCGTCACACACATGCAACAGACAGGAAAAGCAGCAACAAACCACACGTCCCACCCACAAACTAATAATAATAACAGACAAGAGACACCTCCTTCGTTCGTTTGTTCGTGTTCCACAGGGGAGTCAACGCCAATCTACGGTACCCCCCCCCCCCACCCCCCCACCCGAAAAAACACAACCAACCGC